TTGTGTGAGGGGCTGGGGGATGAGGGTGAGGAGCGGGCCCAGGGAGGGGTGTAAATGACAAGCAAATGCCAAATTAGGAGCGGTCTGTTGCCAGGGTGTGTGTGTGTGATCCCAGGTGAGTGGGACGTGAGTGGGCTGGAGTTGTCATCATTCCGGGCTTTCCTTCCCGGAAAGGAAAAAGGGCCACATAGGTGGGATCCAGGGGAATATTGGGATGTGGGGGAGTTCAGGGGGTGGCCTGAGAAGAGGAGGCAGTTGCCAAGCAGCAAGAGACATGACTGTATTACAGTGGCACGGAACATCCCAGCCTCTTGGGCCTGGCCATGTACAGCCCGGTACATGATACCATAGTGTTATCTGTCACCCCTTGTTTACGGGGATAATGAGGGCTACAGTGGTCACAGCGAGGAAGAGCAGCCCCAGGGCTGGGGGACTTCAAAGCCTTTTCATGGCATATCCTGGGTGGCTGCCCTCCCTGTCCTTAGCCCAGCTTGGTCTCAGCGAGGACCCAGGACAAGTCAACTTTTGCCTTCACTTCTCTTCCATCAATCTGTGCATCTGTCTGGACCATTTAATTCTAGTTCACCCCAACCCCTTATTCATTAATTACAAATATCTATTGAGCACCTACTGTGTGCCAGGCACTTCCCCTGCCCTTCTGAAACTTAGGCCATCACCCCTTAGCTGTCCCACACTGGTAGGTTGGGACTGGAAGGAGGAGGTAGGGGGCTTCACTAACACCCCCTTTTTGCCCTCACACCAACCACTTCCCCTCTATCTCCCTCCAAGTCCCCTTACTCCTAGATGGGACTTTTGGCTGGAATTGCCTTCTCCTGAAATGGAAACCAATCAGAGTTAATTGTTAAACCTAATAGCTGGAGAGAGTTTCACCCTGCTGGGCTGGTGGGAGGGGGCTGAGAGCTAGTCGTGCTCTGAGGACCCAAGGAGAGGGGTGGAGCCACCCAGGTTCTTCTGGCTGGGTACCTGCCACCTTTTCCCTACTCTGGAATCTGCCTCCAGGGCCTGCTCCTCCCCTCCTCCAGGGGGTGGGGGGTGGACTGCCTCTTGGACCCTTTCCCTTGACTCCAGCTGAGGTGACCCTGAGATGTGAGTACAGGCTCTGGCCCTAGTCCAAGGGCCTTGGGTGAATGTTCTTGGGTGAGATGTGGGGGAGGGCACGGCGCCAAGCCCCAGGGACCCACCCAGAGGGCAGGCAGCCAGAGGACCTTGCTGGCTTTGCCTCCTTTCAGGTAGTGGGGAGAGGGGGGGTAGGAACATACCGCAGCGGCCTAAGGCCTCTGGACAGGACTGCCACCCAGTGCAGTCCATGCCGTTTGCTTCCCTTTTACCCTCTTCACTGGGTGTCCTCTTAGGGGCCATTCTCTGCCACTTAGTCTGGGGGAGGAGGGACTAGTGGCAAAGGCTTACTTATTCCCCTAGAAGGTTGAGCCCCCGACCAGTCACCTGCCAAGCTTTAGGGACAGAGCTTAAACTTCCAAGTCAGATAGGCTGTGGGTCAAAACTGGGTGACCTTGGGGAGGTGGCCCACCTCTCTGAGCCATCTTGGCATCCTCTGAGCAATGGGTCCTCTGACCCACCCCTTTGTCCCCAGCACCGTGAGTATAAAGGCACAAGAGACGGATATTAATATTAGGCATAGTAGGGGGTTGGAATGAGTAGATACCATCCTATTGACATTCAGCTTTACTTTGGGAGGCTGGCTTTGGCTTAGGGCTCTAAGAACTTGACTGTTAGAGCTATGCTGCCCCATACAGTAGCCACTAGCCACATGTGGCTACTGAGCATGTGAAATTTGGCTAGTGCCACCAAGGAATAGAACTTGTAATCTTACTTAATTTTAATTAATTTAAAAATGGAAAGAGTTCTTCATTCAGTTACTGGAAGACTTCTATGTATGTTTGTGAACTTAGCTTTGTGAAAAAACTTTTTCAATGGTAAAGTCTAAGAGGATCTAAATACCTAGTGAAAATTCAGTGTCAGAATTGAGATGTGCTCTCAGTGTAAGGTGTCTGTCCACTGGATTTAGAAGACAGGATGAAAAAAAGAAAAGAATGTAAAATATGTCAGTAATATTTTTGTAGTGATTTCATGTTAAATAAATATGCTATTAAAATCAATTTTCACACATTCCTTTATACTTTTTAAAATGTGGCTACAGGAAAGTTGTAAATTATATATTTGGCCATCATTATATTTTGATTGGATGGTGCTGTTTTAGCCACAGAGTTGAGTTGGACACATTTGAATAATAATACAAGAATATAAAAACTAGTTATTTGGGGAGGTTTGGGGGTGGGGGTGAGGGTGAGGGGTGGCCCAATATTTGGGCCACTCCCCATGACGGAATGTTCCCCTGGCTAATGTTCCCCATAGCCTTGAGGATAAGATTAGGACTTCTGGTATCAAGTGAAGAGCCCGTGTCTAGATGGCCAGGCTACTTACTCGCTCTGTGTGTGACCTTGGACTGGTCACTTGACTTTGCTGAACCTTAGTCTATCATCTGTAAATCTAGACTAATGGTGGGATTTGCCTCACTGATGGAGGGGACTACCTGAGATGTGGTCCAGGTGCAGCCCTTCGCCCAGTGCCTGGCTCATCCGTGCAGTCACAACTGAGCTGTGCTAGTGGTTGTTACTACTGCTGCTGGTTGTGGGGGTCATTGCTACTGCTGTTGCATCCATCAGCTTGGATTCAGTTATTCCATTTGTTCAAATGGAAGATGGGTCAGAGGGAAAAGAGTTCAAAGAGCTTGAGGGTGGGAGTTGGGATGGGGACTCAGGGATGCTTTGTTGAATACCTCAGGAGATTGCTTGCTTTTGGGGGAAGTCCTTGGATCTTCCTGTTCCATAGGTGATCAGGCAAAGATATGTGCCCATTTTACAGATGAAGAAGGTGAGGCCTGTGGAGGAGAAGTGACCTGGCTATATAGCCAGAATCTGAATGCAGGACTTCCCACTCCTATTGTAGTACTGGAGCCAGCGGTAGGAGGCCAGCTTTGGGGGCTGTGAGAGCAGGGCCTGACCAGGGGTCTGGCGCTTGTGAGGAATGCTTATTATTAGTCTTCTATAACTGGAAGGGATCTTGACACCATTCCGTACAATCGTCTTATTCTTGAGTTGAAGAGACAGAGACCTGAGTGTATGCATGTGTGCCTGGGACCTCCCTTGGATCACACAGCAAGTTGGTGGCCAAGCTGGAACTGTTTCTGTTTGTTTAGCTCAGCTGAACTCTCAGCTCAGCCCTGGCAGGACGGGTGGCCTGCTTGTCAGCCCCCTCCCCTCCTGCCCAGTCACCGGAGCAGGCCTCTGAGAAAGAGGCTTTTGTTTCACCAGCTTCTTCTGGTTTCCTCTCAAGGTAGCTTCACCACCGCCCTCACTCCATCTGCCCAGATTCGTCTTTGTCCCTGTTCCAGGTTTCAAGGGCCCTGAAATCTGAAGCTTCTCCACACACATCTACCTTCTGGATACCCCTGGGGGAGACCATGGGCTTTTTCATCCAGGAGGCCTGGATTCAGATCCCTCTTCTACCATTTCACTCCCTACGTGGCTTTAGTTAAGTCATTTGTAATTTTTTAGTCTCAACATCTGTCTTTGTCTAAAAACTCAGGAACCCACATGGTGAGCATGTAACCTGGCGGTTAAGAACCTGAGCTTGGGGTCTCACCCCTGCATTGATTGTCTAATGATTGTCAGGGAGTCATTTCATCTTCCTGGATCTGTAAATGGCAGCCACTCCCTCCCGGATTGATGTGATAAGGAACTGTGCTGAATCTTCCACATGCAACATCTAATTTAATTCTCCCTTTCATCTTGGAATCAGACACTTTGACTTCTGTTTTCCCAGTGAGGAAACCAAAGCTCAGAGAGAGAAAGTGACTGATCCCAGGCTATGTTGCTAGAGGGTAGTGGAGCCCAAATTCCAGTCAGGTCTGTGTGACTGCAGAGCCCACTACCCTACACTGCCTCCCGGGTACCTCGCAACCTGGTCTCCCAGGGTGAGCTGCTGGGTGGCTGATGTGACAGCTGGAGTGGCAGTGTCCTGAGGCCCATGCTGGCCGCCGGAGCGAGGCGCGTGGGTGCGCAGCTCCTGCTCCTCCTGCTCCAGCCTCAGCCAGGCTGATCTTCCTGTTTGCTTGATTCTTGGGTTCTATGTGAACTTTGTCCCACATGGAGATTACTGTTCTTAGTGTGTGAATTTAGGGGACCTGAGATTTCTCCCTCTAACAATCCTGCCCGTTGTGTACCAGGCCAGGCCTGCAGTTGATGATTGAAGGGGGCTTAAATACTCTGTGAGTGAATTCGACCACAACAAAATACTAATGCTAAGAAGAACCTTAGTGACCGCTGAGTCCAACCATGTTTGCTTTACAGATGGGGAGACTGAGATAAGGATAGGCCGAGTTGAGAGAACAATGGATGTGTCTTGTCCTGGGTGCTGGGAACCACTGGACTGACATGGAAAAAGAGCCTGAGGGGTGGGCGGGCCTCTGCTCTCCCTCATCCCCCTAGAACTGGCCCATTACCGAGTTCTGCGGACACCACTGCTCAAATAGCTCTGGGGAATCCATGCATCTTCCAGCTCTACTGCAACCACCCCAGTCTGGGCCCTTGTCACCCACCCCCCGCCTCACCCCATTCAGCTACAACAGGCCCCTAACTCATACAACCTGAAGCTACTGTTGCTGGTCTCCAGTCCAGCCTCTACCCTGCCAGTCAATGGTTTCCCATTACTCTTAGAATCAAGGCTAAACTCTTTACTTTGGCCTCCAAGGCCCTTCACGGCCTGGCCCTTGCTGGCCGCTTCAGTTTCATGTTTGTTACTTTCCCTTTGGCTCAGCGTAGTCACCGGGCCTTTCTGTTTAACAGGTTCAGCCACTTCCCTAAAGTTCCTGAGAGTCAAATGCCAGCCTCTCAATTTCCAGCTCCACGCTGGGTCCACGAACTCAGCCTAGAGGCGCTAACACTGTTTCCTCCTTCCAGGTGCCTGACTGACGTCCTTCCCCCGCGGGGAGCTGGTGTGGTCGGAGGAGGGGTGAGTGTTACCAAAGCACAACCTCATTCTGCTTCTTCTGCTCGGTGTGGACAAATTGGTCTTTCAGGCCTTCAGGCAATTTTAATATATTTTACTGCTGGGGAGGCGTGAGGGTTTGTCTGGGTCCCAGATTTCTGGTGGGTTTGAGAAAAGGGCGCAGCGCCAAGGTCTCCTCTGGTTTTGGCTTATTTTGAGGAAGGGGCCGACATGGATGTTCGTTAAGCACCTCTGTGCTAGGTAGCGGGCTTTGCCTGTATTGCTTATCCACGCCTCCATGGCTGAGGACGGGTGGCCTTGGACCTGGAAGCCAGATCTGCTGAGCTGCAGCCCTTGTTTTCTTTTGCTTAACCACTCCGAGGTAGTAGACTAGATTCCAAAGAGGGTGTTTTCATTCTGGTCCTGCCACTGACTCCTACGTGACCTTGGGCAGCCACCTTCCTCTCTGTTGGCCTCCGGGTCATTTATACCTTGTCAGGGCCAGGGGTGGAAGAAGGTGGGGTCAGAGTCAATGAGCTGTTTTCAGACTTTCCTGCAGGGAAATCCCCTTTTTGAATTCTGTTCCCCCCAAAGAATCTCAATGTTCAAAACAGCTTAAGGGGTTGCAGCTGTGGTCAAAGTTGGCCTGGGCTCGGGGGACTCTAATTGGCCAATTCCTCAGCCCTCAGCAGCCCCCAGACAACAGCTCGGAACCCATCCTTGGCTCTGTGCAAGATGCTTTGCAAACCACTGGCCTGGGGCACGTCAAAGCCCCTTCCACCTCCCGAGTTTGGTGACTATGGTGGGGTGAGGGTGTGGGGAGGCAACCAAGCCAATGAAGTTATACCCATTGGGAAATTGTGAAGTTATATGCAGATATCATTGTGGGGTTATTAGTAAGGTACCACTGCCAGGACTGTGCTGTTGTCATTCTAGAACCCTCTGGTTTTTATTTTTGATTAGGTGTGAGGCCCCTCTGTACCCTAGGGGAACTATCATGTGTGTGTGTGTGTGTGTGTGTGTGTGTGTGTGTCTAGGGAACAGGGACTCTGGGTGTTGAGTTGGGACTGAGCCAGGCTGGGGCAGGTAGAATAAATGCCAAACAGAGGTGGGAGTATGTTGTTCCTTGGGGGTAGCAGGGATGGGGTGGCTTTAACTCCAGTTAAAAGGAGTGATTTGGCTCTTTCCTGCCGGCACATGGGCCCCACGGAGATCTCTGAGCAGGAAGCACTGGGAACAAGGAATCCTCTGTCCACAGCCACAGCATAGCCAGGACAGAGGAGGTGAATTAGGAGTTCCCAGGAGGGGGGCTGCCTGTCTTTCCCTGACATTTGGGCAAACGGGTGGGGAGAAGGGGAAGTAAGAGTACATGTGCATGGTTGGGGGAAGGTAGGGGTTGGTTCAGACATATATTCCACAAGTTCCTTGAGCTTCAGGAAGCCTTCCAAGGAGCCAGGCTCAGAGGCAGGCTACTCTGTAGGGATCAGAGCTAAGAAAGGTGAGACTCTGGAGTTTACCGGAGGAGACAGGAAACGTGAGAGAGGATAGATTTTCACAGTCACTGGGCCTGCAAGTCCAGAGCTCTGCGTTCAAGTCCTTACTCTGACACTGGCTCGCTCTGTGGCATCAGCCTCATTACTTTCCCTTTCTGGGCCTCAGTTTCCTTTCCTGGAGAATGAGGGTAGACACATCAGCCTTGTTACTTCTTAATGCTCTTGTGAGTGTCAATTAGAATAGGGTATTTCAAATCTTTTGAGACAGCAGAATCCCAATATGTAAGCATTTGCAACAGAATTCCTGTGGTTGAATTGGCAGCAATTTACCCAGAATCTCGTTGCCTTCCTTCCTGCCCTTTATTCTGTGGATGTTTTTGGAGCTGCCTCTGCAGTTTCCCAGGGCTCCAGGAAGCAGGGTCTGAAGACCACTGAGTCAGGATGGTTCCCGAGAACATGCTTTGTGGACGGTCCTTTGCAGCCCAGATGACAGGGATGGTGCTGGAATGCACGAGACAGTCATAATGCTGCCTCTGCCCTGCCCACCCATGGCCGGCACAGCCTGTATCTTGGTTAGGACCTGTTTAATTGGGCCTGGCCTTTTCAGAACCAAGTGACAAAAACTCTATTCAAAGTGGCTTAAACCAGAAAAGGTCTTTGATGGATCCTGGAGCAGTTCATGGAATTGAAAGATGAGGAATCAGGTAGACTCTCCATCTCTCTCCTGTTGCAGCTTGTCTCTCCTCTCTGCCTTTGTGAGGAACTGGCTGTCCACTGCCCCAGCTGAGCAACCCAAACAGTAAGAGGGGGAGATTTTTCTTCTAGGATCTGTATGGCAGCCCAAAGGACGGACTCTGGTTGGTTCAACCATTGATGCTGGGGTATAGGGACCTTCCACAGAGTGGGCAGGCCTAAGTCAAGTGCCTCCTGGTGTAGCTAATGGAAGAGTGGGGCTGTCGCTGGAAGAAGGGTCAGTGGAAGGCTCCCGGCCGGACAGAGCCATGAAGGGAACTAGGATGTCAGCGGAGCCTTGGGTTATAGGAGAATGAACAGCTTATAGGCCTACAAGGGCCTGTAACTCCCCACCTCAGTAATAGGAAATACAGATATCAACAATGATAATAACAACAGGTAATGTTTATGGAGTTACTCTCCTTATGCTAGTATGTTCTGTTGTTTTTCATGTATTATTTCATCTAATCCTCATGACAGTCCTTTGGGTAGGTACTAATACTCTGCCCATTTTACAGATGGGAAAATTGAGGCACAGCTAGTGAAGGTCACAAATTGAGTAAGAGGAGAAGCTGAGGTTCAAGCCCAAGGAGTCTGGCTTCAGAGCCCACGTCGTGATCACGACATCTACTGCCCCTGGTCAGCCATGCAAGTGGGTCCTACACCTGCTCTGTGACACAGAGCTCATGACCTGTGAGGCAGCCCCAGGCCCTGGCTGCACTGCTCTGCCATTGGGAAGGATCTCCTCATGTTGCACACAGGTCCACCTCCGTAGAACTCCATCCATCCAGTGCGTGGCTCTGTGGTAGGCGTTTCAGGAGCTGTAAAGAAAGATCATCCGTGAACCTGTCTGAAAGGTCACCACAGCTAATAAGTCACGTTATTGAGCTCTCACTCTGCCAGGCTCTCTGCTGAGCACTTAATATACGTTGGTCTCATTTAGTTGTAACAACTCTATGGAGTAGGTACTATTAGTGTCCCCATTTTCCAGAGGAAACTGAGGCTCAGAGAGGATAAGTGACTCTCCTGTGGTCAGATGGCTAATAGATGGCATAGCTGGTGTTGAGTTCAGATCTGTGCTAGAGACCACTGCAATCACCCATCCCCCAGAGGGGACATAAACAGATGTATGCAGGTGTGGCTGGGACACAGCCAACAGTGCAAATTACCATTGGAGAGGGATAGGAAAAGTGCAACTGATGCTTGCGGAAAGGGGGGCAGCAGTCAAAATGTGCTTCCTGGAGGAGAGCACATTTGATCGAGTCCTTGGAAGGGATGGATCTGGATGTTGGGTTTAGAGAGGGCACTCCAGGAGGAGGGAGCTGCTTGAGAAAAGGCAGGGAAGGGAGAAGCAGGAGTGGTTTAGTTCGACCAGAACTAAGGAGCCAAGGTGGAGAGGGGTGGGCAGCCATCTCTCAGGCTGCACAGAAGGGCCCCCTCCTTCCACACTGTTCTCTTCAGTGATGCGAATAGGTTTGATGGTCTCCAGCTGCACCCGGGTGCCCAGGCCTTCACCATTTCTCCCAGACATAGGGAGGGCAGGCCCCACATGGATGGTGGACAAGGGCACCTGGGCACCAACAGGTATCAGTCCTTCATTGCTCCAGGGTCAGCCCTTCCTCCAGGCGGCACAAGCTCAAGGGACCAGAATAGTTTCTGAGAGCCTCCATGAGTGGTAGGATCCCCCTCTTCTCCACAGGCAGCAGGCTGAAGCATGTACCTCCGACCCCAGAGAGACCCTCTTTCCTTCCCCTTCCCCCTCCACACACGCCTCATCTCATCCGCCTTGTCAGGAGATGGATAATGCCCTCCGAGCTTAGGCTGTGTCCTGAAAGTGCCTTCAGATTTTTCTTCAAACAACTCAGGTGGAACACTGAGGGGAGAGCATGTTAGCCCAGGGAGCCCCCCAGGTCTAAAGGGTGGAAGAATGGCAGTCATGTTTATTGAACTGGACTGGCAGTGTGTCAGAGCTTTATCGCCCCTGTTTTATACAGGAGGAGAATGACACAGGTACCATTGTCACATGAAAGGTGGCTGCATCATTGTCCCTTGGAGGAGGGTTGGAGGTATGGGAGACTCAGCAGGAGAACACCCCCAGCCCCTCCCTGCTGCTCTTGCCCACAGAACCCTCCTAGAGCAGTGGCTCTGAAATGCGGACTCTGGCTACCCTGTCTGCTCCCCCGCCTCTGCCCCTCGTGGAGACAGCCCGTTGCCCCTGGCTGGCTGCCTGCCTGAGAGCTAGAGGGGCTGCTCGGGGGGCCCAGGCTTCACAGATGTCATCAAAATAAGGCCCAGATGGCCAGCATTCCTTCTGTGACCCCTCTTATCTCTGGGATCACTGGATTTCTCTGACCCTTCTTGGGGGGATTCCAGCATTTCTATAGGGAGAAAAGAGGTGGAGAAGAGCAGGGGAGTTCTTTCATTGTGGGTTCTTCATCCTCATGGCTCTTATCATCTGGACTATAACCAAAGTCCCTTATATTTTTCCTACAAAGGGATCTTCTATTCATCATCTCATTAGATTTCCCCCATAATCCTGAGAAGTGAGGCAGGGAGGATATAATTATCCCCATTTTGTGGGTGGGTTAATTGAGGCTCAGAGGAGGTAAGTGACTTCTCCAAGGTCACACAGTTAATGAGGGGCAGAGTGGAGCTAGAGGATAGAAACAGTGTCTGGAATCCTGATCTTCCTTCAGGTCAGTTGCTCAGTGCCAATGGCTAAAAGGGCAGCCTCTGGGACTTCCTTTTTGGTCCAGCCCAGTATGTGGGGGTCGTGTCCCCAGTTCAGATTTTCCCAAG